AGAAGAGGAGGAGGAGGAGGAAGAGGAGGAAGAAGAAGAAGAAGAAGAAGAAGAAGAAGAAGAAGAAGAAGAAGAAGAAGAAGAAGAAGAAGAAGAAGGAAGAAGAAGAGGAGGAGGAGGAGGAGGAAGAAGAAGAAGACAGAGGCAGAATTAAAAACCGAATAACTAAGTGCTTGGGGTATCAGTCTGATTGAGAAAGTGCCTTCTTAAACCCTCATTTCCTGTTCTTCTGAATGGGGCTCCCTTGCAGGCAGATGGCTTGGATGATTCAGGAGTTTGGGGGGGGGGTGAGGGTAGGGGTTTCCTTTTTTTGGCAAAAAAGTAATATTTTGAGCGGCTGGGGAGGCAACTGCAGCCCAGCCACCGAATCTGTTTCAAATCAGCAAATTCAGTTAAATGTCAACAGCATTGGGGTTATTTTAAAAGGAGGACAACAGAGACCTTGGAAGACACCCAAGCTCTTATTTTCTTTTGCAAACTCTTTTCTGGAGGAAGTGGAGACCTTCTCAGTGGGCCAGGAAAACACTGGGGAAATTGAGCAAGCAGAAAATTGCTCATTTGGACAGCAATGGAGGTTTCACAATATTTCTCTCTTTCTCCCCCCACCCACCTCTCTCTTGTATATTGTATATGTCTCACATTATCTGTCTACTTACTATCTCTCCCTACCCATCCACATTTGTTTGTCTGTCTGTCCATCCGTCTATCCATTCCTCCATCCACAGTTCCATACATCTACCTACCCAACTATCATTCTGTTTACATGTCTATCTCTCTATCTCTGCTCCCTATTCTTCTTCCTCTGTTCCATCTCTCCCTCTCTCGTCTGTCTGTCTCTTTCTTTTTCCCTTTCTTCCTTCCTTCATTTCCTTTCTTTTTTCCTTCTTCCTTCTATTTTTCTCTTTCTTTTCCTTCATTCAATCTTTCTTTCTTCATTGCTTGCTTCTTTTATCTTTCTTTCTTTTTCTTTCTTTCTTACCTTTTCATATCTATCTATATCTATCTATCTATCTATCTATCTATCTATCTATCTATCTATCTATCTATCTATCTATCTATCTATC